CGTTGAGCGACTGACCCAAATTTGGGTTTACGACTACTATAATGTTCAACTCCGTAGCCTTGTAATTTTGAACCTAATCCAGAAGACAAAAAGAACTCCTGGATTAAGTATTGGGAGAAATTTTGACTTCATGAGGGACTTTTTTTGATGAATCAACCCACATTTGCGCTACATGGAGAGGAAGACCACGAGAACCTCCCACGGTTAGGCTGACGACAAAGGAACTCTAACTCATGACCCGTCTACCATTGAGGATATTTCACGTCAGCACTGTAGTTGGTGCAAGCCGGATGCGGAATTCGTATCGACATGCCATCGCTGGGATTCGAACTCGGTTCACCCTATTGGGAAGTGAAAACTCTATCCTCTGAGCCATCGCGGCTCACTACTGTTTGTAGGGAAATTTTCACGCATGTGCTCTGAAGCTCAACCAGTGTTAACGTCAGTCTTCGATAATAATAAATAACAAGGAGAAACTTAGCTCTTTGTAAAATCTCTTTAATGGTGCAGCATTTTTACGAACAATTCATACTGACCATTTGCCGGAGATAAAATGAGCAAGAAGAATCTTGAGATCAGTTGAAAAAAATTATTAATAATTATCGTCTGTTAACATTTTCCCACTTTTATTATGAAGGAAAAAAAGTTTTAAATATAGGCAGTTTAAAAATTGGGCTTTAAAATAATAAATATTCACTTATAGATGTCTCGAGAAAAGTTCTATAAAAAGTTATAGGTAGTTTTAGAACCAACCTATCAAATTTTTCAATGTTATCGTTTTTTTTTCTTTTAAATAAAATTTTTTTACCCGTGTCTTAATTTATCGTTGATGCAGAGTGGAGAAGTACTTAAATATTTGTTGATGTGATTTACAGATAGATGATTATTGCATCCAGGTGGATGAAATGATAAGACGAAATTCTATAACTTAGTGACACGTGACTTTCCCAGACATTCTAGAAAGTTTTTTTTATTTCTCAAATTGTTAGCTAAAACATGTAAGAATGATACAAAATAAATTTTTTCAGTTGAATCTCTTTTAAATAAGTATTTCGCTATCTTTGATAGACCCAACCATTTGAAATAGAATTCAGACATTCTATCCAAGCACATAGGTACGACTTTTCCAATGGGGGGGGGGGTGAACAGAAATTCAAAATTGACAAATTGAAGCGAAGTTAAATTGAAAATTGGGGTATAATACATGTGTTCTCTATATATATTTCAAACATACATTGGTTGCGTACAAATATTTGAAACTTAGTAGTGTATTAATAAATTTAAGACTAAATTTGATTTTTAACCTTATAGCCCAGAAAAGATAGGCTTTTTCATCTGAAAAAATAATGCCAAAAGTTTTAAGTACAAACGTACAATTTTGTTTTTATTTGCATATCTTACATTGCTATACAGACAAGTGAGGTATTGTTTCCTATGTATTTTTTTAATTCAATCAAAAAAGACACAAACTTAATTAAAAAGGAATATATTTCAAAAGTTGAAAGGATTTTTTTTATCTATACAAAATGAAATGCATAACATGAAATACATAAACATGACATAAACATGAATACATACAACATGAAATACATAAGAGTAACAGTATATGTGCTCATGAGAATATGTGTATGCATATATGTAATTGTATCTGAATGTGGATGTGTATATGTGGAATATGCTTGTGCATATGCATGTGTATGTGGATATGTATGTGGTTGCGCATGTGCATGAGTAAGAAAATGTGTATATGTATGTGTATATGTACTGTTATGTATTTCATGCTCCCCACGTTTTTCGTTTTTCAAATTTTTGTTTTTTAATTATTATTCTCCACTACAAAAACGTGATTTTCAAAAATGATATTTTTATTTTGATTTTTTTGTGCTCACTTCCAACATCTCTAATTTTTTCACTCACTGTACACAAAACTTTTCAACTGACATGTGACACTAATTTGAAATAATGGAATCGACAACAAAAGACAATCGCGAAAATATTATTTTATCTTCAATTTTAATTTTATTTTTCTTTTTATGTCTTTTTTCTCTTCATTTTCATACATTGTCATCCAATTCTGAACCAAATGTGCCAAATTTGAAGTCTGTAGCTAGTCGGGAAGTTAGCTTAAAATCGATTACAAAATTCCACCCGAAGGCATACACGAAGGCAAGTTGATATAAACGTGGTAAAATGAGTTTGATTTGACCACTCATGTAGCGTCCTCCATCTATTGATTATATCGTATTTCAATCCCAAAAACGCTCTCCCAAAATTATAGAAAATATTCCCTATGAGGCATTTTTCAAACCAAATTCAAACAACTAAGTTATCTCTTGCAACCAACATTCATAGATATCAAGATATGGATCGATAAAGCAAGGTAATTTGAAGCCGTGGACATTTTCCCATATAGTAAAAAGGAATCTAATAACCTTGTAAGTGAATGACAAGGTATTGGTTTCGCCATGTGTTAAAGTGAGCTTTAAGATGGTGTTTTTTACTCAATAAAAACTTTAAAGGAAGCAGAAATTGTTTTAAAATTTTTTTTTTTAAAAAAATGAGTAATTTGAGAAATTATTAAAAATTGCCATTCGCAAACCCCTCGAACTTTTAACTCTCCCCCTAGGTTCAATGTATCTTTCTTTCATTTTCTATTTTTGTTTTAACGTCCTGATCCAGACACTTCATCTGAGACCCAAAGTTACACATTAAGCATCAACTTGTGTGTCGGATTATTTATTTTTAAAAATAGATTAATATGTTGTGACCTAACGTTTTTATTTCTAAATATTCGTATTTTGCTGTTATGTAACGTTGTGAAATGACAAAGTACTTTCTTAAAAGGAGAAAAAAAAATAATTCGCATAAAAATATTAAAAATGCATCGAGAAGGACTTTGTAAACATACATTATGAAAAGATGACATAACTCAGATTTTTACAAAATCTCGCTCAAAATTACCTCTATTGTTTATTTTGATTTCGCAAACTGTCATTCATTCTTGAGTCCGGGAAATAAAAAATAAAGTTTTTTGAAAAAGGAGTCTTACTTTTACTTTATTATTACATCCTCATCACCATAGTTGGCCAGACAGCCCAATGTGGGCCTATGCCTTCCTCTGAAGATTTCTCCATAGCGGCTTCCGATTTATCTTTGATCTCCACTTCTTTTCCGCAAGAAAATCAGACTCCACGAGTCAGCCCATCTCAACCGCTGCCTTCCCTGCTCTCTTATTCCAGTGGATCTTTTTAGACCCGTTGTTTGTTTTTTATTTTATTGTATGTTTTTTATTTTATTATATTACCCCAGTATGTTAACATACCCAGTAAACATACCCCAGTATGTTTTTTATTTTATTGTCATCACTCATTCGAATCACGTAAGCCATCAAATTCATTCTATTTATTTTTATGTATTTAATAATATCAGATTATTTATAAATCTTGTACAGTTCAAAGTTAAATCTCCTTCTCCAGTTATTGTTTGCATTTACACCACCAAGCATAACTCCGGCGAACTTTATTATTACAATACTTTATGAATATTTTTGTAAAAATATTAATACTATGTTCAAAATACATTTATTCCATTTAACCAAAGGGTACGCAAGGTGTTCAGATTATTCTTAATGCAAAAGCAAAAAAATAAATAAAAAAAATAATAAATAAATAAAAAACTTTCGCATTGAATACTAATATTTTGGATAATTATGTATACAATGTGCTACAGAAAAGCTAAAATATGGAACTGCTTTAAGCTTTTCGAAATGCTAATGATTAATCTTTTACCAGAATAATAATGGTTTACTAGAATAATAATGGAACTCCTTTGTAACCAGAATTATAGAATGAGAAATGTCACTGAATGTCATTGAAAGAACATTTAATATATTTTGTAAGTGTTAACGGCAAAGTTTGAAATCCGGCATTCCATTGAATGCCTAGGCATTGTATAGAATGCCTAAAACTAGCCGGCAATGTATGAAACGATTTATATTTTACACATTTTATAGGCATTCTATAGATTGTCAAATGAGAAACCGGAAAAAGTATGAAATACCTCTCTGATTCGTTTCGTAATGTAGTTCAAAATGTTATTAAGTCAGCCATGTTGCAACAAGTAGGTTAATTTCTTGTTTTTTTTTATATGAAATTTTTATTTTCCTTAATAAGGAAGGCATAAATTATGTTTTGAACAACTTTCATTTATCTTTGTGCATTTTGAATTTAAAAAAAATTTCATGGCACTCTCATTATTTTTTTCAGAATAAAATTTCTATTATTAAGAAATGCACATCATTTACATAATAACCTCATCAGGATGTTTTTTTCATACTTTGCCTGAATAGCATTTGTCATTCTATAGAATGGCTAGGTATTATAAACAATGCCCAGGCAAAGTATGTAATAATCCTCATATTTCATCATACCTTCTCATATTTCATCATACCTTCTCATATTTCATACATCCGGCATTATATACAATGCCTTAGGCATTCTATAGAATACCGGCGTTTAATACTTTGCCGGTAACATAAATAAATGAAAATTCACTAAAGTTTAACTCTATCTTTCTCAAACATCTCTCGTTTCGTAAGCGCTTTTTAAATATTTCTCAGAAATGAAAAAGCTATATTTTAATAATAAATGAAAGCTTTCTTATGACAAAAATTGTGAGATAAATATTTTAAATTATGAAATATATATATATAAACTTCAACGCCTTTGAATTCCCATTTCTTTCCGGAGTGATTTTAATTAACCTCTTGAGATAAAGCAAACCAATACAATTTCTGAGTCCGAAAACAAATCATTTGGTGACTCAAGTAAAATTCAAGTAACTCTGGACTCACGGATTTGAACCCCCACGAAATAGACATGCAGAAGTGATAAACATGCACAGGGACAAACAATCAATACACAGGAGCCTTATGAGCTTATCACAAGGTCCTGATAATCATTAGACTGACGTCATTTTTCCGATATATATATAAAGAGACAGATATACTTCCCACCAAACATTATCAGATTTCAGAAATACCTTCGATTAAAAAATTTCATTACTCAGCCCTCTTGAATCCCCTAGAATTCGAATCATTTTCTATCGGGCTTTTAAAGTTCTTTCTATTTTTAAAGTCGAGAGGAACTGTTTTGAATACTCGGGGATTCAGAGGTTTGTTCTTTTTTGTTTAGTTTCCGAAAATGCAATCACACCGGAAGAGAATTCACAGTTCCCGCGAATAGTTTTCATCCATTGCATCGCATTCCTTACTCGTTGTATCTATCTTTGCATAGAATTTGTCTCCGTATGCTGCCTGAATAAACTTAGAACTTTATTTCAATCCATTGGCAAACCCATCAACACAGAACAGAAAAGTGCTTTGTCATAACTGCCTCTATAGTTTTCATCTGAACATCAAGATTCACGACTTAAGATTTTCCAGTGTCCCGATGTTAAGTATTATGTTGAGCTCCCTGAATTTTGCCTCCGTTGAATCAAAACAGTTGCATTGGATGTATGGTCAGGTGAGGTGACGAAAGTTTGAAGAAGAAATTCTAGAAGAATCTCTTGTTTTCCATATAGATTGAATCGCCAAGCAGAATGGCTCTGCTGGTGATTTTCACCTGTTTCACCACATTTCAAAGAGACCTTATTAGGAAAAATAGAGATGGACTCATCCTATTTTTAGTGACGTTAGTGTTCGCCGCATACTTGTCCATGGGTGGCGCCATTTTCAAAATAATTGAAGGTCCCCAAGAGGACAATGTTGCTGCTTTGAAGATTCTAGGTAACTTGAAGACTAGATACCCAAGCATTACTGGTGAGCAATTATTTCTATAGTTTAAAAATTGATTCACTGATTTCTCATTATTAATTTCTCATAATGAACTCAGCAATAAGTTCACTATTTTCGAATTCTGCGGGAAAAAATTACTTTTCAGATTATGACTATATTGTTGGAAATTAAAATTACGATAGTACATAATTTGTCCATAAATCATTAACTAATTAAATATATAGTAAATCAAATATTAAAAAAGAAAAAATTAATTAATTTTCCCAGTCTGTTGAAAATGTTTCCGATTGACTACGATTCGATATTAAGTATACACTTTACCAATTCTTAGAGATTCAAGAATTCAAGAATACTTTCAATAGCAATTATTTCTATAGTTTAAAAATTTCTTAAAATAGTGCCATTATTTTTTATTCTACTCTATTAATAATGCACTATAATATCTATTTTAACGATATTAAAGTTAATAACTATTTTATGGATAAAAATGTTCACTACCAATGAGTTTTCATTATATCTCAGACTCACTATAGCGGAGTTCGACAGCAATTAAAAATAGTGCCATATGTTTATTTTTTATCCTACTATATTCATAATGCATTAATATCTATTTCAATGACATTATAGTTAATAACGATTTTATATATAAAAATGTTCATTACATTACAGCTGAGTTTTCATTATATATATCATATATTATTTTTTATCCTACTTTATTCATAATGCACTAATATCTACTTTAATGATATTATAGTTAATAACGATATTATAGATAAAAATGATTACTACAACTGAGTTTTCACTATGTCTCAAGTTCATTAATCATCAGGTTCATCAACAATTAAAAATAGCGATATATGTTTATTTTTTTATCATACTCTATTTATGATGCACTAATATCTGTTTTAACGATATTATAGATAAAAATGTTTACTACATCTGAGTTTTCGCTATATCTCAGGCTCACTATAGCGGAGTTCGACACGACAGCAATGAAAAATAGTGCCATATGTTTATTTTTTTTATCCTACTCTATTCATAATGCACTAATATATTTTAATGATGTAATAGTTAATAACAATATTATAGAAAAAAATGTTTACTACAACTGAGTTTCACTATATCTCAGGGTCACTATAGCGGAGTTCGACAGCAATTAAAAATAGTGCCATATGTTTATTTTTTTTATCCTACTCTATTCATAATACACTAATATATTTTAATGATGTAATAGTTAATAGCAATATTATAGATAAAAATGTTTACTACAACTGAGTTTCACTATATCTCATGCTCACTATAGCGGAGTTCGACAGCAATTAAAAATAGTGCCATATGTTTATTTTTTTTATCCTACTCTATTCATAATGCACTAATATCTATTTTAACAATATTGTACTAGAATAGACATACATAAAACAATTTTAAAGAATGATATAGAAGATGTTCGTGAAGCAATGATTAACTACCAATGTTTCTGTTTAAATCTAGAAACTCATTTTGGAACAAGTCACATTTTTAGATAGTGTTAAAAAAGTATTTATTTATTGCATCACGTACTTATGTTGCTCATAATTGTAGAAGACTGTGAATATTGACTTATATAAAAAGTTCTGGAGTCACGAATATATCAGATTTAGGAGATTTGTTTTTTTAAAACCTTTAAAATTTAATTTCCTTGACTTGCCGTCGTTTCACATGTTGGCTGCATAAGTTGATGAAATGTATATTCAGACATGTTTTTTATTTATTCTAAAATTTACACAAGTTCAAAACGTAAAAAATTTTAAAAAAATCCCCCCTATATCGTTATTAATTTAATTGATTTTCATAGTATTAGCGAAAAAGTTTGTTTTTGGAATTTAAATACGTTGCTTTTAATTTTATCGGTTAGGTTATTTTAAAGCATTGTGAAATCTAAATAATAATAATAAGAGATAAATAATGTAAATAAGAGATAAATAAGGGAAAGTGGCGCAAGTGTAGATTTATAGAATAATTCTGTTACCTATCATTTAAATTTTTGTTGTTGTTAATTTTGGAAGATAGGCGAAATTTTGTGATTCTTTCAAATGTGCTTACAACACAAAACACTAGATTTTTAAGAATTTTTTTTTTACACTAGATTCTTTTTTTTTTTTTTNTTTTTTTTTTTTTTTTTTTTTTTTTTTTTTTTTTTTTTTTTTTTGCTGGAAACGCAACTTTTTAATTTGGAACTTTAGACTGTCCTTATTCATAATAAAATATATTATGTAATGGATGAATATGCTTATTACATATTTTAATAGTCACTTGCTTTATTTTAATAGTCACATATTTTAACAGTCACATCACTTTAAATAAAAAAACGAACTTACAAATACAGATGACCACACTGTGGGGACAGAGGAGAACAGTAGAGATATGCTAAAATTACTGGGTTGCATCAAAATTCAATAGTGACAGTAAATTCAAGTTAATTCAAGCAGAAATTTCCTTTTTAAAATACGTAAACGTTTAGAGCAGTGATTCCCAAAGAGGTCTCCCCAGGGTCGACAACAACCTGAAAGGGGTCCATGTCAAGTTTTAAAAAAAATTGGTGGTCCATGAAATAAAAATAGGGGTCAACGATAGTGGATCTCATATAAGCAGGTCGTGACTTTTAATTTTGGCATTTCATTAATGGAATAATCAACATACACTGATAGTACCTAATTACTTATATTATACTACCTTATAATATAAAGACATATACCTATCTACATTCTACATAATTTTTAAAAGTAGCCATGACGTAAACATTTTATTATTATTATTATTATTTATTATTTTATTAAGTTATTAGGATTATTTTGATATGAAACTAAATATACATGAAACATTTATATGAAACTAAATTATTATAAACTAGCAATTGCCTGCAGCTCCGACTGCGTACGTTTTTATTTTCTCTGCGTGTAAGATTTTATTTTGTTACAAAAAAGTCTTTTTCCACGGTAATTGTAGCCTAGCCTGTGTCAACTCTTTAGCTAGCTAGACCTCCAATTTTATCTGTGTACAAGATCACTGAGATTTGTTTTTACGTGAATACGTAATAAGCAGACCGACAATACAATACTACGGTTTTGTATACAAACTTATTTCCGCAATTATAATATTAGTAGCGGAGTACGGGTTTTATAGTGCACTTTTTTGTTTCATTTACATATTAATTAAATTAAATTAGCAATTAAATTAGTTTGAACTTAATTAACAAATGTATAAAATTAACGTGTGTTTTTTTCTTTTTTTCACCCTACACTTTACTACAGTTACAATTTTAAATCCTTCACAGTGAGTAGCACTATACCAGCTGTCAAAAATACATTTGAAATTGATAAATTTACGAAAAACCAATATCAGGTAAGCAGGGGGTCTCCCCAAAACCGAAAAACATGGTAAGGGGTCTACGAGACTAAAAAGTTCAGGAACCACTGGTTTAGAGGGCAAATTTCTCACGCATACAGATATATTTTCTTAATACATAGTGATGGTGTTTATAAATGATTGAATCTTACAATATTGGATTTTTCTAAGACAACACCCTGATTAAGCTATCTGTGACAAAAAATGTACAAACATATCTTATTAAGGTACTTATAGTTATTATGTTAAGATTATTATGATGTTAAGATGTTAAGACATATGTTAAGATTACTGGGATTCTTTGAAAAATTCAATAGTGGCAGTAAATTCAAATTAATTCAAACAGAAATTTCCTTTTTAAAATACGTAAACGTTTAGAGGGCAAATTTCTCTCGCATGCAGATATATTTTCTTAATACATAGTGATGGTATTCATAAGTGATTGAGGCTTGTCTTACAATATTGGAATTTTTTTAAGACAACACCCTAATTAAGCTTTCTGTGACAAAAAGTGAACAAACATATCTTATTAAGGCATTTATAGTTACTAAATTGGATTATTTATATAAAACATTTAATTTAATTAGAACTTTTCCTGCATTGCGTTTATTAATTTTAAATATTTCAAATAAAGTTACAAATTCAGCAAACTCTAATGCTTTAACTCATTTTCAGAGTTTATCTTAATTCAAAATATTGATTATGAGTGAATTTTTTAAAAAAAATATTTTTATATCAGTTTTTAAATTAGAGAATTCCGAAATTCTATTATCTAACTCAATACTCATTTGTAAGACTACTTCATAATAAAAGACAAATATTAAATGTATACGAATGCTTTTTCTTTTTTTTTTCTGCATAATTTAGAGCTGCTAAAAGATTAGAAAATAAAGATGCCTCCAGTCCTTTAGCTTAAATTTTTTTTAGCTATGTAATGTTTAAAAAAGACATAAACATAGAAAGACAAAATTTAAAAAAAATTCTTTGATACCAAATAATAAACAACAAAAAAATTACTAAAAATGAAATAGTTTTCGAAAAAGATATTCGTAACACTCAAGTCTCAATTTATTAAATTTTTATAAATGAAAATTTTCGTTGCTCTTTGTTCGTTTGTTCGTCGTAAAATAAAGTGTAAGGGAAAAAAGTTACGAAAATCACATATGACATGACATATTACGAAAATGACTTTTCACGCTGATGGGAAACTGTTATTCCTTTTATAAATGTTTCTAATCTGACGCTCTAATTACAAGCAAAAATATATTTACTTGCTTTTTAAAGATAAAAAACAATTCAAAAGTTACTAAAAAAATCCGTAAGATTATCTGGAATTCATTTGGACAAAAATTTAAAATCAAAAAACATAATTTGAAAGATTTCTTTTTTTACTCTTATACAAAAATGTATCAATAATTTATTTTATTAATTGAAGAAATTTCAAGGATGAATAATTGTTTCTCCTAGTTCATTTTTAAATAACTGCAAATTTGAAAGTTGTTTTTTGAAGTGAGCCGTGTTTGGAAAATTTTACCTTTGACGCAGAAAAAAGACACAGGTGTTTCATGTTGATTTTCATAACCATGAATTATTAAAATTCGAAATGTAATATTTTTCACTTATTTTGACCTAAATTATAACGAAATAATGAGAAAGGAATGATTATATTTAACAAAACAGTGAAAAATTATATTTAACAAAAATTCTGGGTCTTGGGGTATCTAAAATATATATAGTGTGAAAAAGTGTAAGTGAATCAGGACATGAATAAAAAACATTAAAAATTACTGAAACAAAAAAAAATTTTTTTTTGCACGTAGAGTACCTGTTAATCAGGTACAGGTTTATAAGGGGTTGAATTTCTGGTATTGCCGTGTGAGAGAGCGAGGGAGAGATAACACCAATCTTCATCACTTTCGATGATAGGTAGCGTTTTATGGTACTCGCAAAAAAAAAAAAAAAAAAAAAAAAAANAAAAAAAAAAAAAAAAAAAAAAAAAAAAAAAAAAAAAAAAAGGAATTTTGTAAACAGAGTAGATACGAGGTGGTGAATTAATTTTATTTCAAGAGTATTTGTTTCGAATAAAAGTGAAACTCACCACAAAAATTAATAAGTGTGGTTTAGATTATTGCAAACCATCATTAAAAGTAGAAAACGATGTCAAATTACATCATGAATCTGATCATGCCTACGCCCTGACAAAGGTAAAAAAGTAAAAGTCTTTTTACAATGAGCTGAAAAAAAGAAGTCGGTCAGATTTTTCAACATCAATGTCCAGGTTACATATGAATTTTTGCATTTTGTATGTGTGTGTGTGCGTTTTGACTTAAAATTTAACTAGTTAATAAAATAAATTTTCCCGTGAAACAGATAATTGAAGTTTGTGTAAGCTGCAAAGCACCCACAGGATTTTTTTTAACGCGATAACTCGAATCTGGTAGGACTGACGAAAAACTTCGACACATCGGAAGTTCGACTTACCGTTAGTTTCGGTTTTAGACTTTCAAAATATTGTCGGATTATTTAACTAATGCTTATTAATTACAAATCTTCTAATTGCTTACAATATTTAAGATCATTTTTCTGACAAGCCATTTACGATAAGACTGTTTGAAGCACTTTATGATACCCTGGTCCATCGGTTGCAACTTTGCTGTTGTGTTTGGCGGGAGAAACTGCAAGTTTACTGCTTTCAAATTAGGTAGATCACTATGTGCTATGCATTTAGACATAAAGAGTATCACTTTTCTTTTTTTAGCGAAGAATTTTCGATCCAATTTTCTTACATAGTCTTCAAATAAAACTGATGTCATCCAAAACTTTTTGTTAGACTTGTAATAAAAAGGATACGTTTTTACATTCTTGAAACATCGGGGATTTCGGTTTTTTCCGATAACAAGTAAGGGCAATTTCTCTGTCCCAGACGCATTTCCTCCAACTAGGACAGTCAAACGTTCCTTGCTCATTTTACCCCCTGAGCAGTTTTCATCCTTAAACATCATAGTCTTATTCGGAAAGCATTTAAAATATAAACCCATTTCATCAATATTGAAAACATCATTTTAACTGTATCCTTGAAGTAAATTCGGTAACGTTTCATTTAACCACTGTTCACATACTTCAAAAGGGACAGCTTTAGCTTCTCCATGAAGAGTGCGAAAGACATTGTGCGTGTGTTGCAAAGGAAGGGGCAAGATGTCAGCTCTTAGGTTTTTTTTCTTGCTTTAAAAGATCAAAAAAAAAAAATCGAGTTAAAGGGAGTAAATTTCGAATAATCGAGGATAATTAACATGAAGTTGAAGATAAAAGGGTCGGGACCTCATAAAAAAAATCGAGTTATAGTAATATTCGAGTTATCGTACTTCGAGTTATAGCGAATTGACTGTAAAACTTGTCACACTGGTTAATTGTTGCATAAAGATCATACTTTTAAACCAAATTTACAAAAAATTTTGAGCTTTAAAGAAAGAAAAAACACACGTTCTGGAACTACCAGTAGTTGCTAACATGTTCCTCAGATTATTGATATTGATTTTGCAATCAAATCAGATAAAAATTGAATAAAAGAAAAATAATTCATTGCATCAAAATTCAATTATATAATCTATCGTTTAATTTTTCCTGTCGTCAAATTTATATTATATATCGTCTAATTTAACCAATTGATACACGAACGTAAACAAGAGGAAACAGTATCGTAAAAACAATAAAGCTGTATAGTATCAACTGATAATTAAGATTTTACGTAGAATCTTACAGTGCGTGAAATAATTTGGTCAGGGACTGAAGATTAGTCTATTATTAGTCCCTGAAGGCGACATAATCTTCTGAAGTGGTTGACGGCAAGTTATCCACTTCAAGTGGCACAAAAAGTGAGATAGCATCCGACACAAACCGGTGGAGGAGAAAGGTATTGTTTACTTAGACACGATAATTCTGAGAATGTGGTTCAGCAATTTTTCATTCACTGTTGTAACAAAGATCATAATAACGTAATAAGTAAATAAAAGCATGTAATTACTTTTAGATTACTTATAACTTTTGATAAGACTTCTGTGCGACAAATTGAATTCGATATTTTAATTTTTTTTTCTGTCATGAACCTTGATAATAATTTTATTAAAATATTTTTACTAGCTTAAGTACAAATTTGTCCCTCCTAATGCGTTATTTAGACTTCATTGTTTATGACGATTTCGAACATACGACTATACAGATGAGACCAACCTGTTATTTTTATCATACATTTCGAAAGGTCGTTTATAAACTTCATTTGCTTGTTCACCTGACCAAATATTTTAAAGTAGAGAAATACTTCTAAATTCGAAAGAAAGTTCGGCAATCGTACCAGCGATAGTATAAAGTTTGTTCTCATTCTGACCAGCGCATAAGCTAAGAACGAATAGAAAGAAGAAAAAAAAGGTTGAAAAAAATTAATACTAAATTATCAATATTGACAAATGAATGTATTTGTCTTAAAATAAATCATAATCCAACATAGCCAGAAACACAGCTTATCATTGACCCTATGGAATTTTCTTTCTTTCCACGCGTTGTCTTTAGTCGGTCAAGTTTAAAAAGGGGGTCTGAAAATGTGGCTTGACCAAAGAATATTCATAAAGGAAAAAGGCTAAATTCTTCTCTACTTTACCCAGAAGTTATGTAACCTTAAAGGCAACCTTGTTTCGGAATTTTCGCTTTATTGTTACGAAAATGTTGTGTTAGAAACCTTTTTCCAATGTAGCAATAATATTGCAGTTTCAAACCTTTCATCCTAAAAGGATTAAAAATTAGTTTTTTTTAAAAAGTACTGTCACTTAAATAAAATGGCCACTTAGGTCCATAATGACGTTTTAGCAAACGATAGGATCAAATTGCATCGTCAATAAAAATTTCTTGACAAGGTACAAGTTGAGCATATAAGACGTTGCGAAAAGAAACCTTATAATTACCTAGGTTTAAGATTATGAGGACCTTTTCATGCTTGAAAACCCTAAAACAACCTCGATTTTCAGGTTTTTATATAGAAGGTTGTTTTCCAAGATTAGGGTAATGTGGGTAGATTGTCACAGATCTCGTTTTAAGATTAGAAGGTTTACGCGTAAACCGCATAAAAAACCTTTTTATGTTTACATTAAAAGGTTTTTGATAAGGGAAAATAAACCTTATTTCGCTATCTGGGTATATTCTGACAGAGTGTCGAAACCTCATCGATGGGTCATGGATTACTTCCTAAAGGGATACACGAAATCCCTGCAATATTCGATCTCATCGACGTGGTGGCATAATTAGGAAATTTGTGAAACATTGAAGTGAGTCTTGAGTACTTTCTGACAACATAACTCCACCTGTATTGCTAAGTTTATTTCAGTCAATAAGTAGCTTGCAACTCTCCAACATTACCTATCGGTTACAATATTGCTGCAACGCACGATTTATTCTCGAATACAACTTTCGAATACACGATTTATTTTCGACTATATCTTCAATAAGGCCAGTTTTGGGGTGTTTTAATATGAATTGATGAGAGTTTGTGACCGTTTTTTTTATTCCTTAAATCTTAATTTATGACCCGTAACGAGATATTTTAACGATGTAAATTGTTTCAACGATATGGAGGGGTCAATATTTTTCATACAATTAGTTTTATAAATATGCATGTAATAACAAGCTAAGTATAGTTCGTTCACCAGTAGTTGGCACTTGACTCCACCTCCTCTGACGGACGAAGAGTTCATTTCCGAGCTGTAGTACGAGGCGAAAAGCCTCCGCGCTTGAAATTGAGACAACCCCTAATGAGAGCCAAACGCAAGCAATGAATTGCTTTTCAGTCACTTACTTCATCATCTGCTATTATACCTTTCGTTACTCTAGCTAATTAAATATATTGCAGCAAAATGTCTCAAGAAGGATAAACTATTCACCCAAAAGAGAGAAATATCACAAAATGTATGAAATATCTAATGTTAAAAAAAAGCACATAAAGATTGCGAAATGAATATTTTTTTCATACGATCGACAAATAGCAACCTTGTTCAGGGTTGATCACATCCTCCCAAAAATAGCGAAATAGTATCGTCGGATACCACGTGAGCTAAGTGCCAGCTTCTGGTGAACGAACTATATTTTTGCTTTGATATTTCTACTTAGGATAATAGCATTAATTTTTTGTTGCGCAGATGAAGCCATAAATGATTTGTTTCATCAGCTGTCGGCAACTGGAATAAAAGGGCTTCCAGACGGCAACCAGAAGCCCAAGTGGACATTCGGAAATGCATTCCTTTATAGTATTACTCTCCTAACAACAATCGGTGAGTCTTCTCAAAATAATTTTCTCTCCTAATGAAATAGTTAATCAGAAGTTTAATAATGATCATTATTTTTTAACAAATGATATCTCTTGTTACATGTCACATAGTCACCATAGCTCAAACAGCAAGATAACAAAAAAAGAAGCATGCAGCGCACAGCTTTGAATGCCAAGCTATCTTCCCTATAGATACTTTTTTCTTCTTTTTTTTATAGCCATCGTTGAACAGCCAACCCAATTTTTGGGTTTACGACTTCTAATGTTCAACTCCGTAATCTTCCAATTTCGAGCCCGATCCAGAAGACAAGCGAACTCCTGGATCAAGTATTGGGAGAAATTTGCGTTTGTGGAGGACTTTTTGATGGAACTAACCCGCATTTGACCGCTACATGGAGAGAAAGAACACGAGAACCTTCACGGTTAGCCTGATGGCAAAGGGACTCTAAACCATGATTCGTCTACCACTGAGGATTATTCACGTCAGCACTTTGGTCGTTGCAAACCAGATGCGGATTCGTATCGAACAGACATCGCCGGGATTCGAACCCGGTTCACATCAATGGAAAGCAACCGCTCTATTCCCTGAGCCATCACGGCTCTCTATAGATAGTTTTTTTTATAACCGTCGTTAAACAGCCGACCCAATCTAGGATTTATGTCTACTAATGTTCAGCTCTGTAGCCTTGTTGCAAGCGATATTCAATTTAGACAAATAAGCATACATGAGCCGCGATGGTTCAGGTGATAGAGCGTTCGCCTTCCAATGAGGCGAACCGGGCTCGAATCCCAGTCGATACGAATTCCGCATCCGGTTTGCACCGACCACAGTGCTGACGTAAAGTATCCTCAGTGGCAGACGGTCATGGGTTAGAGTCCCTTTGCCATCGAGCAAACCGTGGATGGTTTTCGTGGTTTTCCTCCCCATGAAACGCAAATGCTGGTTAGTATAATCACAAAGTCCTCTACGAAGGCGAATTTCTCCAAGTGCCCGGCGTTCTCTTCTCTTCTGGATGGGGTTCTAAAATTGCAAGGCTACAGAGTTGAACATTGATAGTCGTAGACCGAAAGTTGGGTTGTTAACGCTGGATATTAAAAAATAAATAAATTCTTTGAACCTGAACCTCTGAAAAAGCGAGATAGAACTCATCTCTAATGAAATAGAGACATTTTTTTAGAGTTCAGACACATAAAAATTATCCATTTTTTAAATTGTAAATTTAATTACACAAATATTGATTGAAAAATTGTAATCTTAGAGTAGGTTTTGTCCCTTCATATATAAAACGTGAGGAGGTTAAAGTCCCCTCTGCCATCCCCCCCCGGTCTCTGCCTTACGAAACATTGCAATTTTGCAGACACATTTCAAACTCATTAACTACCTTTGCCAAAAAGGTACAAATATGAAATTTCCTGGAAGCTCTAAGTATAGAGCAGGGATGGGGAAACTACGGCCCGCGGGCCAACTGTGGCCCGCCGGAAGATTTTATCCAGCCCGCGGACAGAATTTTAACTAGCCGATCAGTGGCGAATATATCTACTTTGTTTAAAACTATTTTTGTTGATTTCTTTTTTAACAAAGTACTGATGACCTTTTCACTTTCTCTATTTTTGTTCTACAAAACATAAATTAATCAAAATAGTTAGCACAAAAAGCTTTAACTGGTAAAATGTTGAAAGCAAAAGTTCTTTATAGAATAGCTGTAGATTAGCTCCAACTAGTATTTGTCTTTCTCGAGGAGCAGACATATGGAATCTAATATAGGTGAATTGTACTTCACATGAGGCTGACTACGCGTTTTAAGTTCCAACGAACGGATTTTTCTGCCGGCTCTAGTTCTAACATAATTTACTGCGTATGGAAACGTTGCACACATACAACGTCATTGTAAATAACGGTGAAATTATTAAATGTATAAAATGGCTACTGCCTTTCTGAGTTATTTGTAAACATTTTTTATCCCAAAATGGCAACTAAAAAACGCAAAGTTGATGTAGAGTGACATGCACTCAATGAAGAATTGACTTAGTTATTTCAGAAGTTTTTACTCGGCCCACCAAACTTTTTTTTCTAGATTTTTGGCCCACGACCCAAAAAGTTTGCCCATCCCTGGTATAGAGGAAACAAAATCAATTCGCAGATGTGTGGTAACTCATATAATTTTTATGGAAAATTTATCTAAACTTTGATACCCTTTTCTGAGTTGTTGAATACGGATTTTATAGGGGGTAAGTTGGAATTGAATTACTGACGTCCCCCTCCCACCCTAGGGGAACTTTAGTCGTTATCTTGAATAAACTGGTGAGAGTCCTTCTAACTAGACAAAGGAGATAAGTTTGTTTGTTTTTTTACGCTGATTCTAATAAAATCAAAGTCGAAAGTATTAGTATCTAAACGCATATCACAAGGAACGAGTCCATTTCTTCTGAGGTAAGGTGGGTAACGTGAGATATAATCAGTTCCATTACATAGTATGTCTCTAAATCAAAGTTTCCTCTATCCAAATGGGGCAAAGCAATGTTTTCTCCAACCAATTTAAAAAACAATAATACAGGATTAGAATTTTCAGAATCAAATAAACATCTCATGAATAATTGCCCATTTGAGGTCATTCCTACTTTGAAGTTATAAAGATAACAACAAAATCAACAGCTGAAAATACTTTTTCAGTAGATAAGAAACAATGGATGATTAATTGATTGTAAACAATAACAAGCTTCTTAATACCGGAAGAAATTTGGAAAACTTCTGGTGTATCCTTCCGCTTATATTATGCTTGCGAGGCGAAGTGTGAACAGGCTTAACATTCTAAGGAGTTTTATTTATTGTGATTTGTGCTTAAATTTACGCGTAAAATTTTACCATTCATAAGAGTTTTCTGTAATTTATAAATTTTGACAGGTCCGTGAACCTAAAACAAATTTATCAAAATTAATATCACAGCATAAATAAAGTGCAAGATTAGACATATTTTAAGTGGTATGCCTTTTTTGGCAATATTTGTGTAAAATAGCACCGTATGTTATTCTTTGTGTAGCATCATAGAGAGTTTACGGAGTTTACCGAATTTATTTGCTGTTTGTTTCGTTGAAAGTTAGACTGAAAGAACGTGTTATATTGAAAACACTACAAGTATAATAATATTGGAGGGCGAGCTTTTTCAATTTTATGCGCAAAATTCAATCGGAAGTTGTAACGACGAATTTTAATCCCTAGCGCCATTTGCACTCAGCTTTACACAGTCAACCCTCCATAAGAGGGTCGAGATAGCCTGGTTGGTAAGGCACTGGGCTCATGTCTAAGAGATCGTATGTTCGATCCACGCTGGCCGAAGACTTCCCGTGTAGTAAATGGTGACTGATGCACGTTAAATCTGCCGAGTCACAAAGTCCTTCATGTTCCCATAACAAATCATACCTCTGGGGATACTGATCCAAGAGTTCCCTTGTCTTCTGGATTAGGCTCAAAATTACGATAGCTACGGAGTTTAATATTAGTAGTCATTAAACCAAAAATTGGGTCGGCTGTTCAACAACGGTTATATTATAAAATATTAAATAAAACCATCCATATGATAGCAAAGAAAGACAAAAGTACCCATTCAGCTAGCCAAGTTTAAGCGGAATTAAGGTCTGGGTTGAAATTTTTACTGGAGTGTTTTCTTTATTTAAGTTAACAATAAAAATATATAAGGTGCTGCTCATGCGTTTCAACTGCAAATGTTTCGAGATAATCCTTTAAAATAGTGTAATCCGGTACCTCTAAACAGGTGAAAAGGGCTTTTTCCGCCTTTTAATGTTCTATAAGAAATGCCTTAAACATATAAATTAAGTATAATGATAAAATTGCTGTTTCAAAACGCAGCTTCACTATGAGAAGAAGAAATGCACAAAACAACACTCACTTACAATGTCTTTTAAAGAATAAATTTTTACAGAAGAATGAATATTTAAATTCCGCATGTCTTAATGTATATGTTTTACCATTTCAGGTTACGGTCATTTGTCTCCCCTCACAGCAGTAGGAAAGATAGTGACAATGGTGTACACAGCAGTTGGTATACCAGTGACATTATGCGTTATGTCACTCTACGTATGCCGCCTCATGTCGATCGCGGCCTCCTACAAAGCCTCGCTGTTTCGAAAGCTGAAAGGCCCTCTCACTCCAGTACAGATCAATTTCATTCACATCAGCACTATTATGGTAAGACACTGATTACAGTCTTTTTCATGAACGAAAACAACCGGGATCAGAGGACGCCATACCGAGGGAGAAAATTTTCGTCACAAATTCTCTTTCTCGTTCATTACTAATTTAAAATTCAACAGGAAGAAAAAGTATGTTCAGACAAACCTAGAGGACGTCATGAAGTTTCAAATACAGTACAGAACCCGTTATCCGGAAATCAGAAAACCGGGAAACCAAAAAATCGGAACGAAATTCGATAAATTTTTCCGTCATTTTCAAAAAAAAAAAAATGTTTTTTTCCTCAGAAGATTTTAGGATTTTTCTTCCTTCTTTGAAAGATGTTTACCTTACCATCATTTTGGAAATAATCATTAGTGTATTACTTCATCGTTTTTTCTTCTTTTTAAGATTATTTCCAACGATTTTTATTTTTTTTTTTAGTTGGGCTTAACATTAAAAAAAAAACGGCTTTTCGTAGCGATTCAGAAAACCGGAAAAATCAGTTATCCGGAATAGCGATGGTCCCGATCGTTTCGGATAATCGTTCCCTACTGTACAGAAAAAAATCTTTTAATATATACAAATGAAATTAAATTATTAGAAGAGAACTTCTCCTTTGCGTAATCCTAAGTTATCATGGCATAATTTATTTTAATTCGTACATTTTAAAATTTTCTTTTCCGAATTTTATTTTATTTTATAACCGTCGTTGAACAGCCGACTCCCAATTTTTGGTTTTATGACTGCTAATGTTCAACTCCGTAGCCTTGTCATTTTGAACCCAATCCAGAAGACAAGGGAACTCCTGGATGGAGTATTGGGAGTAATTTGCCTTCGTGGAGGAATTTTGATGGAGCTAACCCGCATTTGCGTTACATGGAAAGGAAGACCACGAGAACCTCCCACGGTTAACCTGACGGCAAGGGGACTCTAACCCATGATCCGTTTACCACTGAGGATATTTCACGTCAGCACTCTGGTCGATGCAAGCCGGATTCGGAATTCGTATCGACTGGAATTCGAACCCGGTTCGCCTCATTGGAAGGCGAACGCTCTATCCCCTGAGCCATCGTGATACTTTAGGTTTGTCTGAACTCTCCTTTTTCTGCACTTTAAATTTCAAATTACTAATGAAAGAGAATTTGGGACGGAAATTTTCTTCCCCAATATGGCGTCCTCTTTAAGAAACAAAAACAAGGCCTACTCGAAAAACATTGACGGCAAAGTTTTCTTTTTTTATAATGTCTCAATATGAGTTAGTTAAGTTTCTCTCCTTTTGGAGAAAAGAGTGTCTAAAAATGTGCCCCGAAATAAGGTGTTTTTGCACGGTTTTTTCCTAAAAAAATAAAAAAAAAACAATGCTCTGTTTTAAAAATGCGTGAAAGTTGCAAATATGTCAAATGGGTACCGATATGATATATTTTGTTTCAAATATGATTATTTGGCCTAAGAGGAAAGTTGGCCTAAATTGTTAACTTTTGAATGAGATTTCATTTTTTGTCTAAATTAATGCTGAAACGAAGAAAAAATATCTTAGTAACGTAATTGTTTGAATAACGGTTATTTCGTTGATGTTTTGACGACTCTTTTTTTTCTCTTATGGCAACGATTTAACTATAGTTTCTCTAAAGAAAGAACTCCCCTAGCCATTCGTCTGAAAACGAGTACGAGGCATATTTGAAGTAGGGGTGTGGGGTCGGCGTAAAAAGGAAATCGTTTTCTTCGGTCTATTGCGTTAGCCCTAGAGGGAAAAGAAGCTACCCTCCATGAAATGCGCTATTCTTGTTTCCATAGCAGCAGACTGCCTCGGACTTTGTAGCGGAGGGAGTTCTTACAGTAGACAAACCATATCCTCACCTCCTTTTATGCCGAGAAGAAAAACATGACTTAGAAAAGTTTGATTAGATTGTTCAAAGCGGTACTTTTAATGATAAAGAAACTATTTCCGCGTCTATTTTTCTATGAGTGGCAACTCCTTTACGGCATCTGATCCAAATTTCATTGCTACGGCATATGATCCAAATTTCATTACTACGGCATCTGATCCAAATTTCATTATTACGGCATCTGATCCAAATTTCATTGCTACGGCATCTGATCCAAATTTCATAACTACGGCATCTGATCCAAATTTCATTACTACGGCATCTGATCCAAATTTCATTGNTTCTTCGGTCTATTGCGTTAGCCCTAGAGGGAAAAGAAGCTACCCTCCATGAAATGCGCTATTCTTGTTTCCATAGCAGCAGACTGCCTCGGACTTTGTAGCGGAGGGAGTTCTTACAGTAGACAAACCATATCCTCACCTCCTTTTATGCCGAGAAGAAAAACATGACTTAGAAAAGTTTGATTAGATTGTTCAAAGCGGTACTTTTAATGATAAAGAAACTATTTCCGCGTCTATTTTTCTATGAGTGGCAACTCTTTTGTCTTTAGACCTGTTAACAAAAATAAATTTAAGTCTCTAAAAAATCCTATAAGTTTTGATAATTACCGGAATATTTATCACATTCCCTGTTAATGTGATCTTGGCTACTTCGGACAAACCAGACGCGTTTTAAAATTTAGACTTAAGGAACACGATAGATACGTCCGCTATCAAGAATACGATGAATCGTTTATTGCTGCACACTGTTGGAATCTTGACCATAAGTTCAATTTCGTCGAATTGTTTTCGCTAAACCTAATTACGCAGTTCAGAGAAATATTTGACGGTAACTTTTTTGTACAGAAAGAGAAATATTTTTGTTGTGTCTTTAAACTTTTTTTGCAACAGTTTCATTACTACGGCATCTGATCCAAATTTCATTGCTACGGTATCTGATCCAAATTTCATTACTACGGCATCTGATCCAAATTTCATTGCTACGGCATCTGATCCGAATTTCTTTCAATGCTCATTTATTGCAGATTCAGATTGCATCTGAACTTTCGAAAGGCAGTGTTATACTTATTTAAAAATAGAATTTTCATTGAACGGCTGCGTTAATAATTTCAAAATTGCAGTTTTGATGTTGCATAGATTCAAACCTAAAATGAATTGTTTGCAGCATCAAGACAGTTTTTATATTAAAAAAAAGCATCTTCTTTTTTTCACAGACTTTAATACTGTTTGGATGTTTCTTGATCCCGGCAGTCATCTTCGATGCTTTGGAGGATTCGTGGAACTTTTTGGATTCACTCTATTACTGCTTCATTTCCCTGACAACAGTGGGTTTAGGGGACTATGTACCCGGACAAGACACCCAGAGTGAGCTCTACAGAATTGGATCAGGAAGTAAGTAAAGAACTGAAACAATTTTTCATCTTTTTTAAGAAGAAAAAAAAATGATGTTCAAGGCAGAATGTTCAAAATAAATCAACAATTTAACCCACCCCAAAGATTGGCAACCCCGGAAAAAAACCTGAGTGGCTTTTTTTCTTCTTTTTTTAGTTACAACTTTTAACTAGTTAAGCGGGTTTTATATTGACTTTCTAAGTAAAACTAGCTGTCCTTACATATATTTTAGAGCGAAACAGTACTAACTGTACTAACAGTGTAACGGTACTAACAGTAGAGCTAAACGGTACATTAAATTGTACTTCTCCATTTCGCGGGTGCAGGTGATGAAGTCATCAGTGCAAACTTACTGGGTGCAAAAAAGACTGAACTGTTTTTTTTTTTTTTACCCATTGGCAAAATGGGTCTTGTTTTGGGTTTCATGGCGTGCGCATTTTATTTGAACGTCATCACACTTTTCAACTGTGTTCAAAGATAACAGTAAACAGTGCGCATGCGTCGACATTGCATGCTTCGCTATGACGACTGCTGATGTTTGATAATTTTTTTAGAAATTTTTTTTTCACCAGTAGGCATTTTTAATGTATTTACATAATAATAATTTAAAGTATTTTTATATTAGTTTTATTATTAACTTGAAATTACTGTTTTGACTGCGATTTTGATATAAATTTGAAAACTGACGAAGGAAATGTATTTCGTGTCGTCTTGAAGCACGCATATAGGTAGGATTTGAAAGCCAATTTGACGACAAGAGGACAAACATCAATTGAAATAGTTTTTTCAAGCCATGATTTGAAATGTTGTGGCGTTTATCGGAATCAATTCGAAAAAGGGTAACCAATGGGTAACCAGTGATCGTAATAAAGGGATCACAATTTTTTTTATTTTTTTATTTTGAAGTGACGTTTTTTTTTTTAAAAAAAAATACATACATAAAATAGCCGAAATTGCATGCGCCGGCAAAATGGAAAAGTACACATGAGATAAGCCAGGTCTGTCGTAAGTTGACCATCAACCGACTAAAAACAAAAACTTTAAAAAAAATATATTAACATGCTAAAAATTAATACTTACCCATGAAAGTTTTCTTTTAAATTAGAATTGTACTATCTTGGAAAAAAATTCTAATTTAATCCCAAAATAGTTCGTTGCTAAGTAAATCTAAGTACTATCTTAAAAAACACAATAAAATCCACAGGGTTAGTTTCATTTTTCTTTTAAAAAAAAGCCGGGATTTTTTTTTAAAATCCTGTGTATTTTCCACAATAATAAGTTAAATTTCTTATTATATTGGTGTCAGAGAATAAGGCGAGCGGTTCTGGGCTTAGACTAGCAGAATCACCAACGATTTAATTAAAAATTTGGTTTGGTGAAATTGGAAATCTAGAGAAAATTAAATTCATTCATACATTTATTATTCAGTACATTCAAAGTGAACTGATCGTTAAGACACGGTTCCCAGCAGATCACCGAAGACAAGCATCACTGGCTACGGTCAGTATGCGGGTGGGTGACCACTTGGATCGGATCAGTCTGCCTAGGGACCGAGGGTGTGCGGTATTGGTCCTCGTTAAACTGTGCTACCATAAAGTGCTCGACTGCCCGTGCAGGTCGTCGGGCTACCGAAGCGGAGGCGCCATTCCCTCTGCAGAGGATCAAAATTGTGATGGTATGTCTTCGGATCATCCTCCGGGATGTTTCCCTGACCGTCGCCAATAGCCCATTGTGCTGCTCTAGTGCGACGTAAATTAACAACGACAACAGTACATCCAAAAACAATTTACAATCTCTTCAAAACAAACGACAGTCTCGTCGTTAATAAATAAAGAAATAAAAAATTTTTTACTTACGACGTTTTTTAAATCCATATTCAAGGTTAGTAAAAATAAATAAAATTAATTGCTAAAATAAAATAATTGCTAAAATAATAAATAAAATTAATAAAATTAATAGCTTTTAGTGAAACTAACTTGAAATAGAGCATTCACAAAGAGGTTTTTAACTCTTTCGTTATATAATTGGGCTTTTAATGTTATTTCTGTTCCAAAACAATTAATGGTTACTCATTTTATTGTCGATTGAAATGGGCTGCAGGTGGCGTAGAACAGAACTCTCAACTTATGGCAACACTTCGCTTGCTGTCAGAATTGGCGTGCGGAGAGTCATAAGAGAAGGAAGTATGTTAGTTTCTGTCTTGATTTTCAAATAAATTAAAAACTTTTAAGTTAGGAAACTATATGGATCTGAAAACTACATTGAACATAGCTCTAAAAGAAAGTGTCGCGGAAATTTTAAAAAATATTTTTGACACTCAAGTATTGAGAAAAGGGAAAATATCGTAGTACATTCCCATACAACTGGGAAGAGGAGGAGAGGGAAGGGTCGACATGGAATCGATCTTCTCCCCAGATGGCGTATTCAAGCATTGCGATGTGAATAACATTTATAACATTGTACCAAATAAAACATTTCACCCGTTATATGCTAAATGTTCTACTACACATCAAAGTGAGAGAAATAATACAGCTTTTTTACCAACTTTTTTTTTAAAAATGACACATTTTCAAAATCATTTTCTTATTTCTAAGTTTTAGCTACGTCTTTTTTTTTTTTTTTTTTTTTTNGAAAAAAAAAGATTTTTAATTAAAAGTTGTTGTACAAAATATTTTGAAAAAGTCACGAATAAGGGCCTTAAATTTATTCTGAGGGTTTGTTTCTTGCAGTATACATTCTGTTTGGAGTCATTGTGATGATGTTCATGTTGGCCCTGTCGTCCGACTTCTACAAACATTGCTACGAAGAGGTAACTTTACCTGTCACCATACATCATACTGAAGAAGTTTCTATCCACAAATCAAAACTTCCATCCTATGGTGCAGTAGGGTTACTACAGTCAGTCAATGAAGAATACCTGAGAGCAATACCTGAAGAGCAGCAGAGACTACTACAACCATGATGCTCGTACCATTGATTTTGACGTTGAATAACTCGAATCTTCATGTACTAGGATTCTATCTTATAGGCTTAAGCAGGTGACCTCAAATATGCTAATTAATTAGGTGCTGTAGCCACAATCAAGGAAACATGAACACCAATAGTTTTATTAAGAGGGTGGTCTAAAGTTTGGACCCCTCAATGTTACTTTTACTTTTGGAGAACTTTAACATATCTCGAAAATTTTTTCAGAGAATCAAAAAATTGTTGCGCGAAGTTATAAAATTCGTTTATCCAAAGAAATCTCCTATAAATTTAAAGGTTAGAAATCCTTAACCATTAAAAAAAAGTCTTGATAAGTTAACTAGAGTTTTTTTCTTTTTGTTGTCTGATTTAAGTAATTTAAAATATCACCTGCACAAATTAATTAGCATATTTGAGATCATAGAAGATTGAGTTTTAGAACGTATGATCATTAAGTCATTCAAGATGATTCCTTTTTTTTTTCTTTCTGCGTACTGTACATCGTTTGCCCGAAAAGTAATGTCGTAGAGTTGATTAAAAAATATGTATTGATCTAATAGGTTCATTCATCATAAATCATTTCTAGCAAGCTTACTTAGGCACTCTAGTAAGCCTTTTTCAGAATGTTATTTAAAGATTTGGTGCAAGCCTCTCTTCGCCAATTGTTCCGAAATGATACCCTTTCATGGGAGTATTCAAATGCGCCGGAGACAAGAAGAGAGATCTGCACATCAGAACTTTTGAGTGTTTGGGAAACCATCTTTGGATCAGTCAGGAAGTGGATCACGAAACGGAAAGAGTGGAAATGCCTGTGATTGCGGTTATGGTGATGTTTTGAATAATCTGCGAGGTCTGGTTCAGACTTTTTGGAATGCTTATTGTCTGTTCCTTTAAACAAGCGCTTAAACGATGGTTGGTAAGAGTTCTGGAATTCAGTTTGTCGGTCGTAGTCAGCCTTTGAGAATTGAAAGACTTTGCAAAAAATGCCTATTGCCACCAGTAGGCCCCTTTACCAATTACAACCAGTCGGAGTAAGCTAGCAGGTGCATAAGCTTCACAATAAAATCAGTGCACACACCTAAATTTTTATTTTTAATATCATTTCAAGCTTATTTGAAAATAAATTCCTTATTGATGTGCGTTAATAATTTGTATTATAGAATGTGGCTTATGTAAAATAAAAAAATACTCTTGAAATTGTGTTATTTATTGAGAACGTCATGCGTTCATATTTTGGATCATCACATAAACAGTTTTCCTAACATAATAAACTAACAGATTTTTGGTCATTCTCCTTACTAATCATACCTTCTGTTGCACAAATATGAACTCATGGTTTTGCAACAAAAGTAAGCACTATTTTTTTTTTTTTTTTTTTTNTACTTTTAAAGCTGAATCTTGTAAAAACAAATTATTATATGGGATATATATATCCTCCCTTATTTTACTAATTAAGGTGTCAGGATTGGAGAATTAGAACAGTTAAATGCAGTTGTGTTATGCCTGCGGCATGAATCGGTTAAACAGAAGTTATTGTTAAAGATTTTCTCCCAGATAGCAAAATAAGGTTTATTTTCACTCAGCAAAAACCTTTTAACGTAAACCTAAAACTATTTTTTATGCGGTTTACGTGCGAACCTTCTAACCTTAAAACGAGATCTGTAACAATCTGCTCTACTCTACGCACATAACCCTAATCCATAACCTTGGAAAACAACCTTCTATATGAAAACCTTAAGTCGAGGTTGACTTAGGGTTTTCAAGCGTGAAAAAAACCTTTAATAAAGCTAGTCTCAAGGTGAAAATAATCTTAAATCTAGGTAATTATAAAGTTTCTTTTCGCAACGTCTCGTATGCTCAGCTAAAATCAACCTTCTCATGAAATTTTAATGGGCAATGCAATTTGATCCTATCGCTAACGTGACGTCAGCTAAAACGTCATTATGGACCCACGTGACAACACTTAAAAAAAAAAAAAGCTTTAAATATAATTTTCAACAATTTTAGGTTGAAAGGCTTAAAACTGCAATATTTTTGTTTCATTGAAAAAAGGTTTTGAGTGTAAACCTTTTCGTGACAATAAAGAGAAAATTCTGACACAAGGTTGACGTAAGGTTACATGTTTTCTGGGTCTAGTATTATTACTAAGGCCCGGATTTTGATGACATTTGCATTTTTGGACATTTTTTGTCCTTTAGAGCATTTTTTGAGATTTATAGGGCATTTTCTTTAAATTTTGGGGCGTATTTTGCATTTTTTAAATTTTTTTCTAATTTTTATTATCTTTTATAATTTTTTATTATTACGCTGGCTTCCAAACAATGAAGAAAATCTCTAGGATATTGAAAGGTGAAGCAACATCTTTTCAAATTGAACAAGAATTGTCAGTAAGTGTGACCGTCCTTTTCAAGTACGCACCAATAACATCAGTAGACGTTGGAAGAAGCTTCTCCTGGTATAAAAATTTGCTTTCAGACAAGAGACGCTCGTTTACATTTCAAAATATTAAAAAAAAATTTAATAATCCACTGTAATTCTGATATTTAGTAATATTATGAGATGGAAGTTGTTATATTCATTTAAGTTTCTATACAAAATGAAAATGTTTTGGAGTCAATATATTTTCCTTTTTTGTTGTTGTTATTTTAGGATATAAAACATATTTTTCAAACTTTAATGAACGTAGAACAAGTATTGCATTGCTTTATATTTCTTGAAACGACTCATAATAATTTTGAAGAATAAAACATTGTTTTAGTTCAATATTTTTACTTCTATTTAAGTCATATCATAAGGCCACTTTAGCACAATTTTCGCATTTTAAGGGCATTTTTTGCACTTTTGAGGGCATTTTTTGCAGTTTGTAAGGGCATATTTTGCACTTTTTAAGGGCATTAATTGAGATTTTTTAGGTCATCAAAATCCGGGCTCTAATTATTACTATACATTGAATGATAAATGTTTTAAATACCAGAGTTTATTTTTTTTTTACTACATTACAAGTATAAACAAATTTTACTACATTAGAACAAGTTCTTAAATTTTTATTAGAAAATGCATAACTTATATGACGAATTAGTAAGCATTGAACAAAACACACATATAGCTGGATTAGCCGTTAAACTCTATCCTTTTTTTTTTAAGAATAATTCTGACAATAAACTAACTCTGCTCTGAGAAGAAAAAAAATTTAAAGTAAAACTTACCTGTAAATGCATCAAATGGTAAAGAAAACTGCAAGAACTTCTACTGGTTACCCTGACCAGTGGGAAACTGAAGTTATTGAGACGAGTAAGAAAAACATGTTTTTTGACGAAAATGTAACGTAAATTACCAAAAGCTATTTTATTCACATATGATCCGGTTCAATGTAAGCCGAAATCAGCTGAAAATATTCAATAAATCTGCACAAATCAATAGATATAAAACTCCATTTTACACATTGAAGTGTACAGAAGAAAATCATTGAATGTGTTCTGAATCCTTTCTCCTTAAAAGTATTTTATTTTATTTTATAACTGTACGTTGAACAGCCGACACAATTTTTTCGGTTTACGACTACTAATGTTTAACCCCGTAGCATTATAATTTTGAACCCAATCCAGAAGACAAGGGAACTCCTGGATCAGGTATTGCGAGAAATTTGCCTACGTGGAGGACTTTTTGATGGTACTAACCCGCCTTTGAAATGACAAACCATGAAAATTTCCCACGGTTAGCCTGATGGGGACGGTCAGATCTGTCTGCTACTGAGGATATTTTACGTCAGCACTGTGGTAGGTGCAAGCCAAATGTGGAATTCGTATCAACCACCCATTGCTGGGATTCGAACCTGGTTCACCTTATTGGAAGGCGAATGTTCTATCCCCTGAGCCATCACGGCTCCCTTAAAAATATTGTAAATAAAACAACAAAATATATACACGTAAACTTCCTAAGATGAGAAATTAGTCATTTCTGAAAGATTGATTTTATTTTATTTAATAACCGTCGTTGAACACAGCCAACCTAATTTTGGGTTTACGACTACTAATGTTCAACTCCGTAGCCCTGTAATTTTTAACCAATCCAGAAGACAAGGAAACTCCTGGATCAGTATCCCCAGAAGTATGATTTGTTATAGGAACATGGAAGAGATTGAGACTCGACAGATTTAACGTGTATCAGTCACCATTTACTACACGGGGAGTTTTCGGCTGACGGAGATCGAGCCCACGACCTCTTGAACATGGGCCCAGTGCCTTACCAACCAGGTTGTCTCGGTTGGAGTTTCACTTGTCTCCTGCTAGCAAGAAAAAAAGCCTGTGAAACCCAAATTTTTTTCCGAACTAAGAACCAGAGCTGTGGAGTCAATAGTCGAAATATCTGAGACTAACTTTTCCTGAAAGCATAAACATTAATCTGAATTAAATATTAATTTCCAATATTTCTCTTTTTTTTGTACGCTTATGACAAAAGGCATTTTATTTAAAATTACATTCTACATTATAACAAAACAGTTTAGGAAATAAATTTTATCAAATAAATTTGAATCTGTGCAAAATCATTTTAAGGAGAGAACAAGATCTATCACACTTGTGAGCATATGATGAACATTCTATGATCTATGAGCGCCACTCTTCAGTCCTGAGGACTGAAATCGTCAAAAATCAGTTCACAGATTTTCTGACCAATAAATATTTATTTTAGATTTGTTTTCTAAATTAAGTTATTATTTACATATAAACTTTTCCTTTAAAAATATATAAAGATTGTTTTATGATAAAATAAATGAAAATATCACTTCATGAAAACATTATTATGAAAACATGGTTTTTTATAATTATCGCAAAATGATCATGCAATGATATCACATTAAAATGAAAGAATGGGATTGACTGAATTTCAACGTCTGCTCGAGTTTGTGTTTTTTCTAAAACATTTTAAGATAATGGGCAAAGTTAAATTAAGATTACATTTTTTTAAATATTAAATTGGTAGATTTTGGACAAAACATTAATAGTAAAGTGTAAAATAAGTAGAAATATTGACGTGTGTCAGCATTTGTTGAGGTTAGAGTCGTTGCCCTGGAGAGACAAAGATAACGATTTCGATCCTCTGAGCTCGAAGATAATATAAAAATCTATAAATGTAATTGAAGTTTTTATTCATTTTTCCTGTATCTTCTAGAATGTTCTAATTTGCCACTTCCTGTTCTGTTATTTAGTCCTACAAAAGATCAGGTGTTTCAAGCCAAAACGCCAGTTACCTTGTTCCCAGTACGTTTGCAGGTTCTTAATAAATTTCTAACTTTCTGGACTGATTAAATTTTTTTTATGCGACAATATGAAAAACTCCAAGAAAAGATTAGTGGTGTAATTCAGCAAGTAATGCAACAAAAAAATATATATACAAGGTTAGTTTTTTTTTCTGTAAAAAATAAAACAATAAAGAGAAAAATATGTTTTCAGAAAAAATAATCAAACATTTGCATAATATATGGACTATTCTCATGGAAAGTGTCCTATAAATTTCTGAATTTTTTTAAAAATAGAGCTACTAGATCCTGTTAATTGATCAAAAGATAAGTTCAGTCTCAAAATTTTTTCATAGTGACACCCATGCGATACACAAGAATCTTCAATGATTATTTGTGAACTAAGAAACTAAATATTAAGTTAAATTCCTTTGCCTAACTTTTTTTAACTAACATTATAATTTAGTTAAGATATTTGGTTTTGAAATGCGAGCATAAAAGAGTTATTTTTAATAAAATATATAACTTAATTATTTACAGGCTTAGTAGTGGTTCAAGATGACGCCCGGTGGCTGAGCAGTAGCGCTTCGCACTGCTATGCCACAGGTCCCAGGTTCGATCCTCGGGACTGGCACGGTTGTCTCAGCCTTTCATCCCTTCTGTGGGTCAATAAATGAGTACCAAGCATGCTTGGGAACTAAATACTGGGGGTTCCACGTTCGGATGACCGGAACATCTGCTCCTGCATCCCAGAGTCCAAGAAAACTGAGAAGGGCACAGTAGGCCTTGGCCCTCTATGGGCTGTCGCGCCACTGAGTTTAGTTTAGTTTAGTAGTGGTTCAAGATAAAAATCAGGACATTTTTTGGTACAATATACACCTTAGACTATTTTTAGGAAGGGGAAACAAACAGCTAAAAAAGTATTGTACCCATCACTTTGAAAATTTTGTTTTGTGTGACATATTCAATTGTCCTCAAACTTAAAAAAATAAATAAATATTTTTTTTTAAATAAAATGGATGATGCTTAAAATTTTTAAATAAGAATTTAGAGAGTTGATTAGAAGTGAATTTCAAAAACAATACGATTTTGCCCATATGTACATACAGTGAGAAATCGTGGAATCTGAATTTTGAATTGGGAAATGAATTTCTCAATATTGAAACACTAAAAAATAATTTATAAGAAAATTGATAGATGTCGTTATTTTTATACAACAATAAAATAATTCATAACTTAATTTTAGATAATCTACATCCTAAAGATAAACTGCATTTAAAATTAAACAAGAAAATGTAATACATCATAAACTGGAAACAAATATCAAAATAAATAAATAAAAAACTAAGGAATAAAACTATTACTTTAAAGGAAATGGACTAGTACTTTCGATTTTGCAGTAAAGGAAATGAAAAGTATACGAAATTAAAAACAATTTTTTCACTGTAATTGGACAGAAGAGAAAAAAAAATTTCTATTTAAAAATGTTAGGTTTATCTTTAACATTACTTTGCAGTTAGGAGTCGGGCTTACTGAGAAAAAATTTCAACAGCAAGGAAGAAATTTTTTTTACAGAAGCCTAAAACAATATTAAAAACCTGAACAATTGAATTTTGCTATTTCTACTAGCATTATTAATTAAAATAAAAATTATTGAAAATCTTTAGATTTTTAAAATCTTAATTTATATTCATAGAAATTATGATACTCTAATTATACATGAAAATCACTTACATCAGGACAAAAAGTTAAAAATAAGGAAAAATAGGCACATGATATTTCCTATCAGGAAAATCAGGACAATTATGAACTCTAAATTTATAATTTTAAATTCTTTGCAGAGAAGAGCATTTTTTCCCTTGATATTTTTCATTATTCAAATTAGTAATTATAAATATTTTATAATCTACATATAACTATAAACATTCCTCTAAATAAGTTTGATAAGATCAAAGACTTTTTTTTCTTTCTTCTTTTAACCAATAAGATTTAATTTTCAACTTATACAAATTTCCCTTCATAGTCTTGATAGAGAAATTTGCAAAATATGGGAATCTGTATTTTAAAAAAAGGGAAACTTGGCAGGTAATAACTTGTGATAACAAATAATTACAAAATAATAATTAACAATTAAAAAAATTGTTTATTTTCTATAAATGAAAAAAATAAAATCAAAGAAAAATGCTGATTACAATATTAAAAATATTATGCAGTTTTTGAATCACTTTCTTGAGTTGATTTCAAACCTCGTATAGATAAGTCATACACAACTTCTTCAACTTTTTTAAGACAATACTTAAGACCATCAAACTTTCTTCTCAGAAGGTCATTTTTCAAATTCAATAGACGGAATCCAACATTCATTTCAGAGACAAATTCAGCAATTTGCACTGGCTTCTTGTAATCTCCATGAGTTGCACAATTTAAAGAAAGACGGCTCTACGAATAAAATATATATATATAATTTCACATCTCAAACTATTTATTCCTTAAACTAAATATTTCAATGAAGTATTTTAAATCTTAAAAATCTTTATCATATATAGCAGAAAATTGTTGTACTCAAATTTCATACTCAAATGAATAGTGTGAGAAATTTTTTAAAAATCTTTTTACATTTTTTTAAAATCTAAAAATATATCTATAATTTCACATCTCAAAATATTTATTCCTTAAACAAAATATTTTAAATCTTAAAAGCTTTATTATATATAGCAGAAAATTTTTGTACTCAAGTTTCATACTCATAGTGGAAGAAATTTTTTAAAAATCTTTTTAAATTTTTTTTAAATCTAAAAAAATATATATATAATTTCACATCTCAAAACCTTTATTCCTTAAACAAAATATATTAATGAAATATTTTAAATCTTAAAATCTTTATTATACATAGCAGAAAATTGTTCTACTCAAGTTTAATACTCAAATGAATAGCGCGATAAATTTTTTAAAAATCTTTTTAAATTGTTTTAAAAATTTTTTTAAATCTAAATATATATATATAATTTCACATCTCAAAATATTTATTCCTTAAACAAAATATTTCAATGAAATACTTTAAATCTTAAAATTTTTATTATATATAGCAGACAATTGTTGTACTCAAATGAATAGTGCAAGATTTTTTTTTTAAATCTTGATGTTGTTGGATGTTTTTTTAAACAGTATTATTCACCTTCCAGCCCTGCAGACTGGTTGGGATCAGTCAAGCGGATGGTAAGTTTAACCATGTGAAAATTACTCAATTAGGTACTTGCATTCTAAAAAGAAAAAGACAACCGATACCCAGCCATGCGACCTATGACGTCAGCGCCAGCGAATCTTTATCAGCAAAATGGCGTCTTTAAGTTGAGCTAAGTTTCTCTGCATAACTTAGAATGTTAATTAACGTCAAGTTCATTAAATACCCTATCGCACATCGAATTTGTTGACATATAATCCTTTCTCATCAACTATTTTTACTTAACTTTGATTTATTATTTGTTTGTGTATTTTATTGTAACCAGGATATAATTTTGTTTTGTGTATCTGGAAACTTCGATGGATAATAAGTTTGTTTATGTCCTACATGGCTTCGTGTCTGTCTTTGTGTAAATATATAGTGAAAGAATTGAAATCTGTGTGAAAGAATATAGGCTTGTTACTTAAGAGAATTGGTACTTGACGGACTAGGCTTACTCGAAATAGAATGGAAAGAATAGTTGCTAACGTAAACAAATGCCACGTTTCAACAACCAATCAGGATTGAGATACCCACACTACATCACTTCCAGATATCCCAGTGTCTATGATTATTCGGGAACATGGACAAACATTTTCTAGAAAATCATTTTTTTCCATGTGTAGTGCACAATTCATTGCCATCAGGTTTGTAGTTGAAATTTTACTATTCTCAAGACAGCCTTTAGTGTGACGGTTGTTGGCATTTCTTAAAAGGTCATGAAGTCAAAGGTCAGTGATGAGGTTTCTGCCATCAATATGACTGAGTTCTTCAACTGATGAAAACATTTACTAATCTTCAGTTTAATCAAAATTTAAAGATAAAATTAATGAATGGATGCACGCCAAAGTAAAAAAAAAACTTTTCTTTATTGACTATATTATTTTTTAGGGTACAATCCCCAAACTGGACAAGGTTGACTCAACCTTTTATCCCTTCAGTGGGTCAATAAAATGTGTACCAAGCACTTTTGGGGACTAAACACTGGCGGTTCTGCGTTCTGTTGACCATCCAACCGTAACAACTGCTCCTGCATCCTAGAGCCCAAGATAAAAAAATAATAATAATAAAATGGGCACAGTAGGCCTTGGCCCTCTATGGGCTGTTGCGCCACTGAGCTTTTTACTTTTTTTAAGTGCAAAAGCAGTTTTAGACTGCAAAAATACTAATTCTTCAGCTTATAACTTACCAGTTCTTCAGCTAACAACAAGAGACCCAAAAGAAAATCATCAAGTTCTATGTGAAATCCATCAGCAGGATTACAACTTACTACAAATTAAAATGAAAAATAATTAATTAAAAAAATTTCTGACAAAAAGTAAATTTTAAAAAAAATATTGTTCTTGGGGTATTAACCCAGTGTGTGTAGCCGGATTTTTCAACAAAAAAATGAAAAACTTTTAGGCATTCAAAGCATATTTTTAAACACTTTAAAAAAAAAAATCAAATTTAGATAATGCACAAAAATAAAGTTTTTTCTTCCTATTGTTCAAAGTTACAAAGTTATATATACATAAAATCAACGATCTGCAAAAACATTTTTAGACTTTAGTTAATCAAGATAAAATAACATGTTTTTGGCAAAGAACTCCATTCTTGATATTTTAAGTCACCATATCAGAATTTTTTGAATAATTATAGATATATTTAATATAAAATTACGCACTCTATTTAAATTAATAATTATTTATTCAATTACATAAAGAAGAAAAATTAATTTAAAATTACAGTCAGTTACACTTACATTAGAAAAGTAATTTGATGCCTTTTAGAGCTCTAAATACAGATAACACATTCAAAAGATTAATATCATTTATCATACTGAATTGATAAAGATATATAGAGAACTTGGCAAACCAGGAAAACTAAATACATCCATAAATAATCTTTGAATAAATTGGAATGGAATTTGTAATTAGGTTCAATATTTCTTCAATCAAATGATTAAGCAGTAGTTTTAATAATTTTGAAATGAAAATACAGTTAGTTTCGAAGCTAAATATTTTTGTCCGAAGTAAATTAGTCTATGGTCTCTAATTGGTTTGAAATTAAATGATAAACATATGAATTAAATTTTTGAAATAACAAATATGACATAACACTATTTTACTGCACTTGCTAAGTATTTAAAAAAAAATTAAAAGTCCCGCAATCAATACTTCTTCAAATTTTTCTTTTAAAAATTATTGAGGTTTATTCCATGAAATAACTTAAGAGTACTAAAAATTTCAATAACAAATACAGTTAAGTAAGACTAAAAAGCCTAATGAACTTCATATGATTAGAAGATGGCTCATCAGGTACTAACTCCTGCAATTATAAAATCGTAATTAATTCCTTAAATTAATAAAATGGTAGGTAAAAACATTGAAGTTGTGGAGTAACTACCACTACTATTATTAAACATCAATTCACTAGTATATAAGACTATGCTAACTCGATTCAATCTAGGGATACCTTACGACAGGTGAAGGTTGTTAAAAATCTCTTTCCCCACAATGTGATTTTCTACTGCTCTGGACCTACTTGAAAATACTTAATTCGTAAACAATTCCCGAGACAAGGAATGTGATACTGAATTATAAAAATGAATAATGTAAGAAGATTCAACACTAGAGATCTTTGATGAAAAGCGTTTTTTTTCTGACAAATTTTAAATCTTCATTTTTTAAGTCAACGTTGTATTTAAATTGAAATTTTTGCATGCGACTACAGCAACAGCAAAAAAAAAAAAACAATTAACATAAAAATTTGGCAACTATTTTCTAAAACTAAAACTTAATAGAGATACAGTACGAAGACTGAGATTTAAATTTATTTTCACATTTTTTTTATTTACTTACTAAGATTTGTAAATAAAAGACACTAACTTCCCAAATATTCTGCTGCTACCTCTCTGGTAAGAAGTTTTCCTGATTCTAAGAAGACAATGAAAGCTGCAGAAAATATTAAACGTTGAGTCACATACCTCCAATGTTCATGATATCTAAATGAATAAGAATTTAATTATAACTAAAAATACCGATTTCATTAATATAAATACATTTCATACAGCATATAATCAAAAATAATTGGATCAAACTCCTTTTAGTTTATATTCATATATCCCTTAAATAACTGATAAAAAATTATGCAATTTATAAGTCTACATGATGTATTGATTATATTGAATGTAACTTTGTCATGTAACAATCCATACAAAATCATACAGAATTTTGTGGATACAGAAAACAGGGTGCGTAGCCAAATCTCTAAACAAAAAATAAGCACCTTTTAAGTACTTTTTAAGCACTCAAAAAATATTTTTAAGCACTATATACATTAACAAAATGCAAAATAATTTTCAAAGATCATGATAAAATAACTAGTTTCTGAGAAAGACCTTTTCTTGATTATATTAGCCACCATAAAAAGATCGAGATATTTTTCGGTTTGATTTCAGAGAATGAAAAAATCATGAACCAGCTGATGGTGCGCCTGTAATTCATTGCGCTCTACCACTGTTTTTAAAATATAGTACATAGAATAAGAAGGAGCCGTGATGGCTCAGGGGATAGAGCGTTCGTCTTCCAATGAGGTGAACCAGGTTTGAATCTGAGCGATGGCTGGTCGATATGAATTACGCATCTGGCTTGCACCGACCACAGTGCTGGCATGAAATATCCTCAGTGGTGGATGGATCATGGGTTAGAGTTTCCTTGCCCTCAAGCTAATTGTGGTCTTCCTCTCTATGTAACGCAAATGCAGGTTAATTCCATAAATAAGTCCTAAACAAAGTCAAATTTCTTCCAATACTTGATCAAGGAGTACCCTTGTCTTCTGGATTGGGTTCAAAATTACAAAGCTAGGGAGCTGTACATTAGTAGTCGTAAACCCAAAAATTGGATCAGCTGTTTAACGACGGTTATAAAATAAAATAAAATACAGAATGTGAAGACAGATGAGTTTAGAATAATCCCTTCTCTTATCTCCAGAAATGACATCACATTTTTTATTCAACAACTCACAAACTTGCTCAAACATTCCTGTCTTTCTTGCCTTTTATAAAGTAGAGAGAAAATAATTTAGTCTACTTTCTGCAGCCAAAAATTGCCTACTCTAGATATATATTTCAAATTTAAAATAGTAATGCAAAATAAAAAAGGTTAATATGTCTATTTCATTTTTTACTATTTTTATTGGTATTTTAACATTAAATACATGCATTTACTTATAATGACAATTTTATGGGCTATAATTAACTGTCATAATAGACTTTTACTGTATATACATATAGACTGTATAATTGTTTACGAACCTGTAAAACTCATCAACAGGAATCAATTTCTGTAAACCAACATATTGACTCCGTACCGTATCAAACAATCTTCTAGCTTTATCGCACAATTCGGATACTAAAATAAAATTTGTACTTCAATTCCATAATCAGGGTGAGTAGCCAAATCTTTCAACAAAAAATAAGCACATTTTAAGAACTTTTTAAACACTCAAAAATATTTTTAAGCACCATATACATTAAAAAAATGCAAAATAATTTTTTAAGACTTTTACATGATCATGATAAAATAACTAGTTTCTAACAAAAAACTCTTTTTTTTATTATACTATCCACCATAAAAAGATCGAGAGATTTTTCAGTTCAATATCAGAGGGGGTGGAAAATGAAGCCTAAAACTGAGAATATCTTGCAAAATGCAGCAGAGTTGCATATGAGAGTGCAATAATCTTACCGAACCCATGCAGACTCGCAAGAATTTCATCAAATATGTAAAATGATTGGCGCTTATTTAAAAGTTTTATCTTAGGCACAATATTTCTCTATGAACATGGATAAATTATTATTTGTATGAAGGTAGTTGGACTGTTAATGAGCTTACAATAGTTTCTGCAAAAAAAAAAATAATAGTAATAATTTGCTAATTTTGGTAATTTTATAAGTTACTAATGAAAAAGAAAATTCACTTCTATTTCATCATAGATTAATAGAGCCAGAATTAAATTATTTAATAAAACTAATAACAAGCAACCATATTTATTAATACTAGCGATGGCTTTAATGCACTATAAACATTAATTTATAATAAAGTTAAATTTAAATTGGTTTTCAAAAAGCAATTTTAATCACAAGAGCATTAAAATGAAAACGTATAAAAATTATAGGGCATGTATTAAATTATAACTTTTTCTCAGGTTAGATAAAAAAAAGTGTTAATTTCTAAAACAATATTAAATTTGAACAGAGTTAATATAATGAATTCTTATTAGTGTAATAACTGCTTAGGTAACATTCATATTCTATTTACATCATAGCTTTGAAAAAATAAAATAGTTTTTTGAGTAAAATTTAAAGTGAAAAAATTTTCAGTAATTTTTGTCACCTGTTAACTTTATTTCATGAAAAAAAAATAGGGATAAAACAAGGTTAGTGATATTTTAAAGATCAAGTGTAAAATAAGATAATTAGCAAAAATGGATGATTTATTAGGGGCGTGTTAAATGTTGTTTTGATTTATGTCTACTTGGAGTTTTTTAAATGAAATTCATTATCATATAATCATCAATTCCTTCGTAGAAGGATAATAAGCTTCCTTTTTTTGGTTATTTTTATGTATTTTTAATAATTATTACAGACAGCTTTTTAGTTTAAATTTTTTTTTTTTTGTTTATCATCAATTTTTGTAAACATTGATAGCAATTAACCTTTTGTTAAAAGGAATATTGCTATTGATGTTCCGTTATTGTTTCAAGCATGTTCCAGGTATTCAAGCTTTTGAAAGTAAATTCAAAATTTAAAGCAAAAATATTGCAATATTGCATAATGTATTCAAGAAGTTGTTTCTCCATTTGTGTTAGTTTCCATATTAAGCATTGAATAAGATCTAAAGATGTTTTCTCCTTTTATTTTTAGGTACAATCTCATGCAACACATTGCAAGAAGTAAAAGCATTTATTAAATTACTTCAAAAATATTATATTTTACTTACTTTAGGGTATTTTTGAAACTTAAAAATGTAAAGAACAGAAATTTTCACTAAATATTTTTATTAAAGCAACAACTTTTTTTTAAGAAATTTTTTTTATTTTTAATAATGTTTGAATTTTAAAATGTAATTTAAAATGAAATGCTTGAATTTTAAAATGTATTTATTTAATTTTACTTAAATTTTAGGATTAATGGAATATATCCCTTGCTGCCACCTGAAAAAGCATTAAACATATGTTTCCAAAATTAAGATGCATTTTTAGCTTAAAGCAGTTCAGCACATTTAAATAATGCAATAAATAATTAAACTGATTAAATTCAATTATGGGGGATAAATAAATCGGATAAATGCATAGATTGAAAACCAAATAAATACTTAAATTATTGATTGCTAGTTATGAAAAAGAGAGAGAGAGAGAGAGAAATAGAATCTTTTCTTACATTGGGACAAGCCTTTAGGTTTGTGAACTCCTTGCAACAAAGTTATAATTTCTCTGCTTAATTGTTCCATCTCTTTCACTTGAGTTCGGATTGTCTAAAACAATAATAATAAAGAAGTATTAGAATTGAACGCAAAAAAAAAAATAAAAATAAAAAAATAAAGCTGTATTGAGTTAAACTTTGCTTGACATACCTCACGCAGGTTTTCTTCTTCCTCCATATGTTTCTGATAAACAGAAAATACTTCTGTGTAATCCTCAGACATTATTTTTCTACAATCGAAAAAAAAAAAAACATAACTGATTAAACAAATAGATTTTTCTACTGAAACTTCAAAAGTCAAATTGATATTACATTGTTTCATAAGGATTTTTTTAAATATTTGAGCTTAATTTTTAAAAAAAACAAACATTTAATATCTTATGCATCAAACTTAAAGAATAGAAAGAGTAACCGAATAATTATTAAATATTTCAGAAAACCATAATTTCAATGAACAATTGAAAAAAATTTTTTGACTTTTCTTCGAAAATTTGACTTTTCTAAGAAAAAAAAATTAAAGATTTTCAATCTGCTTATAGAGCAGTGATGCCCAGCCTACAACCTTTGAGCCAAAAACCTTTTCATATTGATCTTAAATATTAACAATAAAGTAACAGAAATTTTTTTCAGCTGTGCTAAATGAATACAGTAGCTTAATAAAAATCCTCAAGAGTATTAGATTTTATCCAATTTGAATCACAACCATCACATTTATCTAATATTCTATTAGCAGGGGTCTGTTCAGACATTTTGTGAAAGGTCCGTTTTTCGTGAAAATGTGAAAAAATTACTCACATTTTTTCAACTAGGGTCCGCTTTTATGAATTTGTGCAAATAGGGTCCGGTTATTGCAAAAAACTTTTTCAAGGACTTTTTAAATTGTAAATAGATACAAGATTATGCTGTAAAATTATAATAAAAAACTGTAAAATTATAATAAAAAAATTAAATTTTCAAAACTAAACAGCAATTGCTGCTTCTAAATAAGAGATGCAACATTTGATATTTAGCCTATACTGCTGAACGCAGAATATTCATTTCGGACGAATAATGGAAGAATCGTCTGCCGAAGACAAAACTTAATTCGTTTACATCCATCTTTCTTGTTTTCTGCCCTGGGAAGGGTTTATTCGA